CTTTTTGATTTAAGATTTCTATTCTTTTTAATACTTCGATATTGATTTCTTTTTCTTTTTCAAGTTGTTCTAATTTGATATTTAAAGTTCTTTCTAAAGATTTGTAATCATATTCTAGATTCTTTAATTCTTGGTTAACTTCTTTGTTTTGTTCATAATTTTTAATTTTATCTTTACATTGGGAGATTTTATCTGTCAGAATATTTTTTTCTTGTTTTAAATTATTTAAAATTTGTTGAATTCTATTTAGTTCGCCAGAGTTAAACGTCATTTTTATTTTGAGGATTTATTTTATTTTATTTATAAAACAAATAAAAATCTAATTTTGATTGATTTGTGTGATATAATTACATAATTTAACAATTTTTTCCATTTTTTCTAAAGTATCGTTTAGTGGAAATAAAACTTCAAAGTTAAAATTAGCTAATACAATATCTATTTTTTCATCCAAAACATCAAATATTTTTTTCTTTTCATTATATTGTTCAGTTTCTAATCGAATTTCTTCTAACATTTGTTCTTGTTTTTTGGTTAATCTTTCATTTTGATATTTAGCAATTTTGTTTTCTTCTTGTAGCTCTTGATTCGTCTTTAATAGGTTTTCGTATTGACTGTTTTTCAAAATTTGATTATTTTCGGTTTCTATTTGATTATTTTCTTTTTTTAATTTATCTATTTTATTTTGAATTTGTTGTAATTTAGCGGAAATCATTGTTGAATTGTTTTGAGATTTTTACTAGCTAAAACGATTTTATCTATCTTATTTATATTGAAATTTGAATTAATTTTTAATAAGGTTAAACAATTATCGATTTTTTTATCTAAATTTTCCAATAATTCTGTCATATCTTTGTTCATTTGTTGATATTTATTTTGTTTTTTATATATAAAATAAACAAGTTCATCATTTTTTTCCGTTAATTCTTTGTTTTCTTTTACGAGTTTTTCGTTTTCTTCGGTCAGTCTTTTACATTTTTCATCGATGTTTTGTAGTTCTTTATTTTTATTTTTAAGGGTTTCGTTTTTATTTCTTAGAGATTCTAATAATTTTACGATTCGGTTTATCTCACCAGAGGACGTCATTTTGTTTATTTTATACATGAACAATATTGTATTTATTTATATATACTAATTAACTTTTTTAATTTCCATACTAACCGTGCCGATTTTATCTATTTTAGTTTCTAGATCACTAGTACTTTCATATTGTACTATAAAGTTATCTAA